CGAGTGCCCGGCTTTTTTTTTTTTACCGTCAATTTGGTGTCACCCCTGTAATGGTGTCACCCGGGTGCGGGCCGGTATTTTTTCAGGACAGATTTTCTAATGGTGACAACAACGGACCATGACTATGTAATGTGCGCTGAAAGGGACACTTGTATTTTCCATCAGAAGCCTGGGGACTGAGTGACAACACATGATCACATTTGGGAGACAGGGACAAAGTGTTGTCACCTGGTAACAGTAAGTGTCTGAATAAAGGCCTCTATGTCAGGATCACTAGAGACTGTTAATGGAAGCTGCAGCTTTAAAAAGACCGGAAATTACTTTTAATCTACAGTTGAAGTTGAATCTGCTTATATTTTGCCCTGCCCCCCCCTCTAATCAACATGCTAATTAAATTAATAAAACACTTCCATTTTCATTACATATAATAGGACTTTGTGCTTCTCTATGTAATGCAGCCAGATCAAGGCTGGTAGGACAGGCTGGCAGAGTGCTGTATACAACTGCCTGAAACATCACAGCACCCTGTCTCAGTACTCCTCTCAAGAGCCCTGATGCAAGCAGTGGGCTGGCTCTTGGGAGGAGTTATGCAAATATGAAAATGCGTCGATGGGTGGGTGTCAGTCTGGAGGAGTGAGCGTTCTTAGGCAGCATGTATCTGCATGGTAACGCCCACATGCGACGCTGAACCTCCATGATTGAAAGAACTGGAATCCAATGAATGAAAAGGGTGGGGCCAGAGACACTAAGGATGAGGAGGAAAGGGCTAGATCAGGGTTAGGCAACCTCCTCACTCCACCTGTGGTGCAAATACAAATCCCATCATGCTTTTTGGAGTCAACCTGTGGCTGTCAAAGACTTGCAAAGCCTCATGGGACTTGAGCGCAGAGTTTGCCCCCTCTGGCTTTCTAATGCACATGGTAAGAAGCTCCCAGTGTGCAGTGAAATCAGAGGAAGCCATTCCAGTCCAGGAGAGGGGCCGGTACAACCGTGCAAAGACTTTATCATGTCCGATGAAAGAACCATCGGCAAGGTTGCCCCAAGTGTGACAATGAAAACGTCCGACGTCAGAAGAGCTCATTATCCTCCCTTTATGGCAGGGGTATCAAACCTCCGGCCCTCCAGCTGTGAGGGAACTACAAATCCCATGAGGCATCGCAAGATTCTCACAGCCACAGACATGACTCCCGAAGAGAGCTGCATCATGGGATTTGTAGTTTCACCACAGCTGGAGGGCCCCCTGCTTTAGGGTCTGGCTAGGCATGAAATTGGGTCGTCGGCTTGGGATGGAGTTTGGCCGCTCGCAGACACCGTACCTTACACAAGCCAATTTACGGATGAACTTCATTTGCGATCAGCAGTCAATACTTCTAAAGCCCCACGCGTGTACTCAGCTCTGCTGGCGAAGATCCGGCGCCGCCACGGCTCCGCAAAGTGTCTGCATCGCTGGGGAAACGGGGAGGGCCGCGTCGCGCTCTGAGGGGTGAATTGGAAAGCGCTTCAGCTAAACTATGCGCAATTAGTGGGGAAGGTGTGAAGTGGCAGTTCAGCAGCCAGCGGGAAGAAGAGTTGAGAGAGGAAAGTGAAGATCCAAATAATTGATCTGCTCGGCGGAAGCTGGAAGAGCTGCGAGTGTCGCGGAGGGGACGAGCCCAGCGCGCCGAGGCAGCGGGACGGGGAAAAGTGACAAAAGGTTTCATTGCATCCAAATCTGATTATTCTGAATTAAAGTCGTTGCCGGGAAGTGAAATCGCCCGCCGACAGCTTAAGAAACTGCTGCAACCGCAAACACCATCCGGAGCCTTCTCTTTACCATTGCCAAGCTACTAAGGAATGACAAGAGACTGCTGGAGGAGATCTCCGTGTTACATTACAGTAGACTGTCAATGCAGGGAGGAAAAACAAGAGACTGCTGGACAGCATGAGAGATCTCTGGCTGATGTGAGCTATCCTATCTATGAGAGATCTCCATTTTACATTACAATAGAGCAGGGGTAGGCAACCTTGGCACTCCAGCTGTTGTGGAACTACAACTCCCATGAAGCATTGCAAGACTGACAGCCACAGGCATGACTCCCAGAGACAGATGTATCATGGGATTTGTAATTTCACAGCTGGAGTGCCGAGGTTGCCTACCTCTGCAATAGACTATCATTGCAGGGAGGAAAAACAAGAGACTGCTGACCAGTATGAGAGATCTCCGTGTTACATTACAATAGACTGTCATTGACGGGAGGAAAACAGGTTACAAGAGACTGCTGACCAGTATGAGAGATCTCTGGCTGATGTGAGATATCCTATCTATGAGAGATCTCCATTTTACATTACAATAGAGCAGGGGTAGGCAACCTCGGCACTCCAGCTGTTGTGGAACTACAACTCCCATGAAGCATTGCAAGACTCTGACAGCCACAGGCACGACTTCCAGAGACAGATGTATCATGGGATTTGTAATTTCACAACAGCTGAGGTTGCCTACCCCTGCAATAGGCTGCCATTGCAGGGAGAAAAGCAGGTTACAAGAGACTGATGGGACAGTATGAGAAATCTCCAGCTGTTGTGGAACTACAAGTCCCATGAGGCATTGCAAGGCTCTGATAGCCACAGGCACGACTTCCCGGGGCAGATGCATGATGGGATTTGTCAGCTGGAGGACCGAAGTTTGGCTATCAAAGCAGGGAGGAAAGCAGGTTACAAGAGACTGCTGGGCAGCATGAGAGATCTCTGTGTTACATTACAATAGACTGCCATTGCAGGGAGGAAAGCAGGTTAGGATACAAGAGACAGCTTTTGTGGAACTACAAGTCCCACGAGGCATTGCAAGACTCTGCAGGCCACAGGCATGGCTTCCAGACGCAGATGCATGATGGTATTTGTAGTTTCATCACCAGCTGGAGGACCGAAGTTTAGCTGCCCCTACACTAGACTGTCATTGCAGGGAGGAAAGCCGGTTACAAGAGACTGCTGGGGGTACTAAGCCAGTCACATCGGTCTCTGCACCATAGGAGCTTGCACTCTAATGTCCCTCAGTCACATCACTCTCTGTACTGAGGAGCTTACACTCTAATGTCCCTCCCAGTCACATCACTCTCTGTACTGAGGAGCTCACACTCTAATGTCCCTCCACAGTCACATCACTCTCTGTACTGAGGAGCTTACACTCTAATGTCCCTCCCAGTCACATCACTCTCTGTACTGAGGAGCTCACACTCTAATGTCCCTCCACAGTCACATCACTCTCTGTACTGAGGAGCTTACACTCTAATGTCCCTCCCAGTCACATCACTCTCTGTACTGAGGAGCTCACACTCTAATGTCCCTCCACAGTCACATCACTCTCTGTACTGAGGAGCTTACACTCTAATGTCCCCCCGCAGTCAGATTTGGGGTCATGGTAGGAAAACCACACAACACACACAGTGAGACTATACACATCCTGTGACGATTGCGTCCCTGAACCCCAGTGCTGCGACACAAGTGATTCCACCCACATTTACTAAAGACCCCCCGGAGGGCTTCTGCAGCATTTATAGAATCCTCCAATCTTCAAATCCCATCCCCCAGAGGAGGCGGCACCACCCTGCCATCACCCGCAGAGGAGGCGGCACCACCCTGCCATCACCCGCATCATCTTTCCGATCTCTGGTCCATTTTTCGGAAGTGATCATGTGATCCCCGGGGCCGCAGGAAGTGGGTGAGCCTGTATCTATTTC